GAGATCCAAATAGGAATTATTCCACTAGATGGAATGCCCAAAGAAGCCTAAATCTTTTAAAATTCAGCATGTGTCATACATCATCATACTAGGACTACTTATCATGTTGAGCAACTCACATCTAGAGACTGGTCTAGACCATCCCCTCAGTAGACGGACACCGCTGCAGCTCCACCTAGGACAAAGGGCTCATCCTTTTTGCTTCATTTTGGGGGCATCCGGTGTACTCTTTTTCCCTCATTAGGATTTTTTCTCACTGGGTTTTTTTCTAATGAGGTTTTTAACGAGGCATCTCCCCATTTTGGATCAAAAGGTGTCGACCCTCGGTCTCCTATTGAAGACATCATCACAAGGCATGCATTACTATGCTCCACTTCGTCTTACTTCATTCACCTCAAGGAGTGGGGGACTGGAAGAGCGGGGGACTTAGTGCATCCGTTAATCGAAGAAGCACAAATTCAAAATTTTTCGCGAAGTTTACTCATCAGACGACGACAGATAAGCACACAGGTCTACTCCCTTCCGCCTCGAGTACTCTCGACTCAGGGAGTGGGGGACTCCTGATAGAGTATATAGACTCGGTCCCCCGAGTCTCATGAATATTGGACCTGGACAGCAGCCCACACACATCTTACAAATATTACTTGTATTATTGTACAGTCCAATTTGTATTTGTATGCACTAGATTAGCCTTTTTTTATTATCATTCCATTTATGTAACCGGGTCTGTCGGGCCCATATTAGAGGCCCAGACCCGGTTTTCCCTATTTATACTCCTATTGTAGCCTCTTGTAACCCTAGTTCACAAATCAATACATTCATACACATTCATCTTCTCCATTGGAGCTCAATCTCTTCTATTATTATATGCTTGGATCCATATTTTCTATCATATCCCTAACTAATTATTCATTTCAAGAAGGGTCTCATTCTCTCTTTTCTTGAATGATGACCATTGTTGATGACTCACGATTGGACTCCTAGTCGTTGCTGGGGTGGAGATTTGATTGATTTTATTAAAAGTTGAGGACTTAATTGACTTTTTCGTGATAGTACAAAAACCAAATTGATAGTTTTCCATATATTTTATTAATAAAATAAAGAAAGATTTACATGAAAAATGGTTAAAATGGTGTTATACATTAACGTTACATTTTTTTAATATTACTCAATTTAACTATTTAAAAAAAAATATTACTCAATTTAACACGTGAGGTCAAAAGCTTCATATTTGATAAAAAAAAAGTTACCAAACACGCTCACATATCTCATAAAGTTCTAGAAGTAGGTTTATAAAAGATCAACACTAGATCGGTAAACTTGTTTATTGATAAGTCCATTTATGTACTTATTTTTCTTATCAAATTTAAGCAATTCTGGATTGAAAAATAGAAAAACAAGGCACATTTTATATATTTTGGTTCAAGTTTCATGAAATCGGGTAAAAATCGCATTCATAACATGTTTTGTGAAATTTCGGGTCAATTGCGTGAAGAAAGTGGCACTTTTTGCCAACAAATGAATTGATACGGAAGTTTGCAAGATATATTGACCAATTGTTCAATGAAAAAAGTCCAAGTGATGAAGAAATCATGCAAGGAAGTTCAAAACCACGAAGGAGTCACATATATGGCTACTTTTGATGAAAATGGACGATGCATAGAGACACATGTTCGTATTGTGATCATAACTTTGCGCATAATTGTCCAACGTTCGTGATACGAGTTTCATTACATTGATATCTTCCTGATCTACAACTCTTATGAAGAACACAGAGCCAAATAACCACCGTAGAATGGACATATTGCTCAAAGAAGTCAGACATTTGCAGTTACGATGGAAAGTGACATGTGGTCACCGTTTTGACCATATCTCATAAACTACAAATCCAATGAATGCGATTCAAATTCCAGTAGTTAGCCAAGAAAGAGAGCTACAACTTTGATGAAGACAACTTTTCCATTTGACGTAAGGCGGTGGAGCAGGCGGCCGCCTTTCCGGGCGCCTACGAGTTTTTGACAGTTTCAGCACTTAACACTTTGCATGGCGATAAAATGATGGAAGGCTGCCGACGGGGGCCGGAGGGCGGCCGCCCTCTGTGGCCGCCTGCGGTGGGATGTGATTTACGAGCTGCCGGTAGCTGAGACAAGACGGGAGGCGGCCAAGGAGGGCGGCCGCCTACCGTGGACGCCTGCGGCGGAATTGACCCGTGCACGAAGCTTTGTCGGAGAAATGACCGAAGGCTGCCGGCCATGGCCGGAGGGCGGCCGCCTTCTTGGCCGCCTTCCAATAATCTCCGGCTATAAAAGCCCTCTTCCATCCCCAACTCAATACACCAATTTCAAGCCCAAATCAGATCAAAAAGGGCGTCTTCTTCCTCCTCAAAGCTCGGATTTCCACCATTGTTGCACCTTCAACTTCAATCTTTCATATCTTTCTCATTTTAGCTCCAAATTGTGAGTTCTTTATATGTATTTTCATCCTTTCAATGAGTAGAATCTGAATCTGTACTTAGTTTTTTTTATCTGTGCTTCTAAAATTTCCAGAAAATTATTCAACTATTTCGCATTTTCGTCTTAAATTTGAATAAAATAGTTGTTGACATTAAATCCATTCCAATTAATTATATAGTTGTTTACTAGCCTCAAGGTAGTTATTTATCAAAACAAAGTTAATTTTTATGAAGTAGAAGTAAATTTTAATTAATTCCGGCATTTAGTGGTTATTATTGCATAAATTAAATTAAATACTCAAAAAAGGAAAAAAATTAGTTTCTGTCCTAATTCCAGTTAAATTCACAGTAATATCACTCCTAGTATTCAATATAAAATTTAGAACGAATTTAGAATATTTGTAGTTGCTTTTTTTGTATTTTCTAGTTAATATTGGGAAAATTATCAATTAGTTGTTAAAATTGGATTTTAGGTTATAAAATTCGGGAAAAATTCCAGAAGGTGATATTTTAGTTCTACAAGTTTATTTTGGAAGAATATTATTTTTGTTTAATTTTTGCTATTATACATGCTTAATTCCTTGTTAATGTTGAATTTATTCATTGTATTGTTAAATGAAAAAATGATGTTTATTAGCTAAATTTGTTTTGGGCATGAATTGACTAAAGGAATATGGATTGACTTGTTGACCGAAAATTAGGGATTAAAATTAATAATTTGGACTAGTTGTTTGAAATGATGAAATAGTAATTAATAATTGTTAGCCATATTCATTAATTAAATTCTTGGAAAATTATTTCTAACTTGTCTATGAGATTAGAAAATAATTTAAGCCAACCATATTCAAGCACATTAATAAGGCCTAGAAATAGGATAATTTAATGAAAGGGATTTACATCTTGTCTATGAGAGATAAATTCAATTGCTTAAATAATGAGTTTAACTAGTTAATGAATTCGGCTATTTTTATTAATTAAAATATTGGAGAATTATTTCTACCTTGTCTATGAGGTTAGAATTTAATTCAAGCCAACCATTTTTGAACACATTAATGACACCTAGAAATAGGATAAATTAATGAAAATAGTTTCTATTCTTGTCTATGAGGAAAGAAATTATTAGTCCAATTTTAGTTTTAATTTCCCTAATTACTAGGTCCAAGAATATATCCATTTCTAATTACTCAATTCATTGCCCTTATTTGCACCAATCCATTTAAGTTTAATATTATATTTTTTCCTTTAGTCTATTTTTGAGCCATCATTAGTATTTGCACAATTTAATTTACTTTCTTTTCCAAAAAGTAGTTTAGAAAATCAATCAAAAGTTTTAATTTGGAAAGCTTCCAATAATTTGCGATAACCTGTGACTGGACTTGAAATCAAGAAGCTCCTCCGCCATTCCTCGAGAGACACGATACTCGGGGAAAAACCGAAAGGTTAGACTCCGTTTTACTTCAACGCCGCGAAAGCGGTTATCATTTATAAAAATGAAACATAAGTAATACTTAGTACTCCGTAATTTAGAAGACATTGTCCAAAATCGAACAAAGTACATAAATAAGACTCTAAGTTTTTTTTTCTTAAAATAGAATTGATTTAAATCTAATAAAGAAGTAAAGCAATCATTTAAGAGCAATGAGTCTTAATTAAAAAACAATGATGATCATATTTAAAGAAAGGACTATTAGCTTAATTTATCCCAAACTATCAGCAAATTCACAAATCTATCCTATTATTTCACTTTTATACAAAAAAAGACTCAAACTTCATCTTTTTCAACAATTATGTTTTTTTTTTAAATTACACATTTTTATCAATACCAATAAGATATAATCAATACAAGTTTGTAAACTTAAAGCTAAAAGAAGTGAAAAAAATATGAAATATAAACATGATTTTCTTCCTAAGTTTTACTAATTCATCTATTGAAAGTGTAATTGTTAGAAAAATTGAAGTTTGAGTCTTTTTATAATAAAAGTGAAAGTATAGGATATATTTAGCTAATTTTAGAAATGTGTTGGAGTATATTTTAGTACCACCTAAGAAACTTGTCATAATTTAACAAGAAAAATGATATTTGTATATATTTTAGTTACCATATTTTCTACGCATTAGGTGAGATCGAGTCATAGAAAACCATTGAATGTGAAATAAGGCGAAAAACAAATTGTGTGATTTGTGTCTATGTGGAAGAATTCGTGTGTTAATATAGTAGAGAGTAATTTTTTAGCACAAACATTGATTTGTATGTTATTTACATTGATTGATATTTTTGTATATATGTCTATGTTTGGGAGCTCAGATAACCATTTCTAAAACAAATTATTTTTTATAAACATATCTTGTTTTTTGTGATTGAATTTTTATGTCTGTACCGGATTTCTCTATTTTTAAAACTGGTTCAATTTTTCAAATAAACATCTTTTTGCCCGTTGTTTGTGTCAACAAGGAAAGCATTTTTTCTTAATAATTGTAGAGTGGGACCCTTGCGGTGAAAGGTAACCTGAAATAAACGTTGTTGAAGTTTGCATAGAGCAGATAGATAGGGCAATGCCGTTCAAATCGAAATGCTATTCTGCTACGCGGAGTATTTAATACGGAGCACCTTCTTCGTGTAGGACACGACCTTCTGTTTGGGACTAACCTAACCTCAAAAGCAGAAAGCTCTCTCCTTTATTTATTCCATTCCATCCCTGACCTCCATTCACATGCCCTCTGCATCTCTCACTTTATGATTCTTTATTCCTTCAAATCCCAATTATATTTTCTTCTCACTCTTTGCTGCTGGGTGCTGGGCTTGCTGCTCCCACAAGAAATTAGCCCCCTTACCCCACCCCCACCTTTGCGGTCTAAGCAAACAACCTGCGATTCCTCCATTTTTGTACCTTCAAGCATTCACCGAGCTCTTCTGATTCCTGTGATGGCTGCGACGTGTGAGACCAGGAATCTCAGTTCCCTTGAGGCTTTGCTGCTGAAACTCCAGCAATCGTCAGAGGAGCAACACGGAGATGAGCCGCCGGCGCTCCCGGCCCGGCCGGTGGTCAAATCCCGGCTGCCCCGAGCCCGGAAGAAGCTGCCCCTGAACTTCCATATCAGTTCCAGTACTTGCCGTGACCAAGCAAACGGAAAGGTTAACGGGTTATTTGAAAGCAGAGGAGTAGCGCAGAAGCATTTTCTGGAGGCAGATGGTCCCGATGAGGTTAATACGAATTCAAATATGGATGATGAGAATAAACATCTTTATTGCCTCTTCTTATCAGAATTCCGTGAATTGTCCACCTCTTGTCTAGTTTTTTTTTACGTACATCAACAATATACTCCTTAATTAATTTGTTTCCTTAAATGGGAAGTTTTATACTTTCAATTTGAAAGTAAAAACATATTTACCTTGTTTGTTCACTTTGTCTATTTTAATCCTAGAGCAATTTCTATTAATTTTTTGGAATTTATTTATACATTTAACAGAATCTACGATATATGTCTAGTTACTAGTTATTTTTTGCCTAATTTGAGTAGAGCACGGGAATTTCGAAAAGGGAAAGAAGTGGAATTGTGGAAAGATATTTTAGTAAAATATAAGCTAATTTCTTTATTAAAAGATTGTACAAAAGTTTCATAAACATACACTAACTTTCATTAAAAATCCCATTTAAAAGGGAAAATAAAACTGCAAACATTAAAAATCAGTGAAACAAATTTCCTTATTCTTTTTAATTAAGAATATAACCTAATTTGAAGTTTCAGAATTTTACACAAGCTTTCGAGTTTATCAAACCTCAAAATGTGAGGTTCGGGATGTTTATGTGCTTCTATGTGTTCAATTAAATAAAAAATTAGATTGACTAGTAATAAATGTTAGATAGTTTAACATTTAATTAGAGTTGGCTAATAGTTGAAGCTTAGTTCATTGGAATAAATTTTAGGGTCAATGGTAGTTTGTATCTTTGCATTTGTGGTATGACACTCACTTCTTTTAGCATAAGATAGGATTTAAGGCTAAACTAGAGCTATTAGGTACATGGTTGTTGAAATAGGTTGAAATACTAAATCAGATGAAGCCTGCTAATTTATTTAAAACATGTATTGGAACAATGTCCTTAGTTTAATAAACACAGATTCATCGAGAGTAACTTGTTTATTCAACAACAAAAATGATTTTTGAAGACAAATTTGTTGTCTTTGTTAATAGATAAGCATCTCCGGGAATGAGAGCGAGCTTGAGATACTTAAAGGGGTAGAGATCATCCAGAGATGTTACCATGGCCACCAAGCACAATATTACTATCAAGAACTCAGGAGAGGAGCAATTTCACTTCAATCATGTATGTAATCCATTTGGCGTTCTTATATTAAATTATTAAAATCCAATGATACATATGTTCTGTTTACTTGTCCATCCTTTGTTATCATCCTCTGATGTTGTTGTTTTTCTAATAAATATTTTGCAGTTGTACGAGGTGAGAGTGTAAGAAAAGATTACCAGGACATGGTTATTCAAAGAACGAGAGCAATTGCTGTTATCCAGAAACATATAAAGGAACAGCGTAATAAGAGATTAGAGCAGCTAAGAGCTACCATATGTTTGCAATCTGGTACTATTATATTGACCTAGTCCATTAGTCATTACTTGTATTACTTTCTAGGAGTTTAATTTTGACCTAAAACTCGCCATGCAGTAATCCTATCTTATTGCGGTGTTACATTTTCAGGAATTCGAGGTTGGTTGACACGAAGGGAATTCAATAAGAAAATGGTGAGTTATAGGAACTCATCAAAACAGGATGAGCATAATAAGGTTTGTTGTTTGTCTAATTGTCTTTGATGAGGTTAATAAATGTTACCTTTCACCAATGCATTCCTGCCCACTTTTCTCCATATACCATTTGATTTCATATCGGACAAATCCAGATTACTCACTTGTGACTCAGCAATTTGTTTTTATGGTTCTGAAAATTTTCACTAAATCCATATTCTTGTCTTTACTTTTATGAACTTATACTTAACAAGAATGTAAAACATGATAATTATTAAGCGGAAGTTGTTTCTGATTTTAGATGCTAGTTGATCTTCAGAGGAAACTTGCAACATCGGAAGCCGCTTTAGCCAAAAGTGATGAAGAAAATGCCTCACTCAAGAAGTATATTTCAGAATGTGATAAGAAATTGGAGGACTATGAAACAAAGATGCAATCCATGGAAAAGATGTGGCAAGATCAGTTGATCGCTTTAAAGGTTAGTCTTGCTTTCTATTACCTTGTGGAGTCTCAAGTCGGTTGTTAACTAAGTTGGAGTTTAATGCTCGTGTGTTACCCAAATCTCACTTTAAGAGGAGACTCCTTTACATAAGTTAAACATAATTTAATCCATGGCACTAGAATATGGTTAGATGTGGACCATGTGGTATTTTGAGGGATTCCCATACATGTGATAGTTTGAGCTCCTTTTGCTACTCTTTCCGTGATAGGCTGGATTGGGGTGTGTTGGGACTTGCGAGTACCTGAGACCCAATGTCATATTGTAACAAAATCTAATCCAAAGGTAGTTTGTGGTGGGATGTGTGTATTCGAATGATAAAAGAACAATTATCTATCCTACTACAATTTGAGGCCAGCTTGTGTTAGTTGTGGTTGGTGTGGGTCCATTTGTTTACCTTTTTCGTTGTGTCTAGCTTGAACCGAATGGTGTATGCTGATTGTTGTATCCAAGTGTAGTCACATCTACTATAGCTTTGTGATGAGTGAGGCTTAACAGAAAATCCGACATGTCCCATTTTTCTATATTCACTTTTCTTTACTCATTGTCTAGAAATTATGAGAACTTTTTCTTATTTTGAACTCCGTCAACTGTTCAAGTTCTCACTTTATATTTCTACCCAATATTTCATATATCTACCTTTAATTCATTTTTAACTTATATATTGGTGGATTCATATGACTTCTTTATTTTGAAATATTCCAATGATAAAAGAACAATTATCTATCCTACTTTTATAAACCTTTGTCGAAATCAAATGCATTTTTCATTTAAAAATAGATGGAGTATTTATTTTTATCGCAGAGCACACCCATAACTTAGTGCTAGGCATCTTGACTCAACCTGCCTCCTACTTAAGAGACCTAGAGTTCCTAGGAAAGATAATGAATTCTTTTGGTCTGGTCTAGGGATTAAACTGATTTGGTATGAAGTTATGATCTGGTGTAATATGTTTAAATTTAATCGGTCTAGACTAGTGTGGTAAGATTTGGTATGTTCGTGTTTGTTTGTAGATGTCAAGTGTATATGTATTTCATTACTATGTAACACAAGTGCGGTTTGATCATGTGGCCGACCCCATTCTTCTGATTTATTTTGATCTTTTTAAATTTAGTTTGAGAGTGAAATAAGCTCAACTAAAAGAGTTGTAACCATGGACATAATAAAACACACCTGCTTATTAGTTAATGATTGTGATGTTGAACAGACAAGTCTAGCTGCAGTTAACAGAAGCCAGACAGAAAATGGAACTTCGAGAATAGCGCCATTAGAAGTTTCGGAGGTGCGCTCTGATGGAGGAGGACAACTAGTAAGTTATGAGAGACTGGAGAGCACGAGTGATGATAATGGTGTGCATCATCAAGTTAATGATGTAAAGAAACCGAAGGCGTGGTTTAAGAGCAGATTGCAGGGGGTAAAAGCAGCATTGAAGCAGCTCCGATATGGCAGTGGCAGGAACAATAACAATAAGACCACAATCACATGTTTTAGGTGATGAAATTTGCGCACTCGGATCCGAGTCTTCAACATGCAAATCTTGTAACACTTGCACATAAGTTGCGGAAACCTTAAAAGAAAACACTGAATACTGTTTTATTACTGTTTTTTTATGTATTAATTTGACTTATTTAAAAGGATTTATTTTACGACATCCGTCCCAGTATGCCATATAGAATAGTATGCACTCTTTGATATCCTGGCATAGTGGAATGCCATTTTTATTGAAGATGACTGTTATTCTGGAATCTAGAGCATACTCTTTTGACACTTTTAATTGTACGGTCACTATTATTATTTAAGGATATTTAAGGATAGCAGAGTAAATGAATAAGAGTTTGTTTACCAAATAAGTAAAAAAGACTTTAGGTAGAGACTAAGAGACATCTCAAAAAAATGAGAAAGTTTTTAAGATCTTTAAGAGACATGAGTAGTCTACAAAGAAGTTTGACTGCTTTAAAAGGATAATTACATGTAATGGAAATCGTCGGGAATGAATTCAATAAAATTGTGAAATTATCTCAAATTTCTCTTGTGTGTATAATCCAGAAAAGTTCAGAATCGGGAATGACTTGTTTCATAACAAGCGATGAATCAACACTGACACGAATTTCGTGTAAGTAATTAATCATGGATCACGAGTTTATCTTCGGAGCAATTAAACAAACTTTAGGTTCATGTCCCTTGTATGCGTGATAGTATTAAAACACGAGTCAAGACGAGCCCAAATTTGAGATGAGGTAGGGTAGGTATGATTGTCCATCAATAAATTTCTGGACTAACTCAAGGGAAAAGGAAGCAAAAAACCAAAGCCAATGCCCGAAGCCAAGGATTGAGAAGCAGAAGTGGTCTCCTAGGAAAAAGGCGTTGGAGAGATTGCAGCAAAAGATTGGAAACGGAAACGGAAACGGTGCTGGAGTTGAAATTGACGTTAAAGAGTGAAGTCCAAAATTTGTAGGAGAATAACACTAATCATATTCTCCACATCAGACTATCAGAGGCGAACAATGCTTAGGGGTTTGGGCTTATTACTATGATGACTAGTTCAGCAACGCGCGATGCGCGTTCGTGTAAATACCCAAGACCATTGTAAGCATATCAATTAATGGGCGGGGTTAGGTTGAGTGAATATGTGAGTATTATGAGTAAACTATATGTATACAATGTTTGCTAGAAATTGAAAAAGAAACTTAATGAATAAAATATTTGTAGCCCCGATTGTATGCGGGAAAATAAAGCATCCAAGATGATTATACTAACCAAAATAACAGGATTAGAATCATTGAAGTTCATTTCTTATTGCAAAAAGAAGACAAATACCAAAAGTATTTGAGACAAAATTTCATAATTTTTATTCTTTGAAGTTCTTTAGGTTAAAGCATCCAAATATTTATTTTGTTAATTCGATATTTGATTGAACCACACATGGGTATATCAACTCGGCGTAGTATAATTTTATCTGGTAAAACAAACATAACAAAAATGCTTGAGACGCTATGTAATTAGGACATTCGTGACTCCGTATTGTAATTTACTTTAAGGACATCCATTATAATTACTTGGGACACAGTAATTATGTAGAGACATTTTTTTTTTCAAAATAAAGTGATAAGTCCGTATTTAGACATGCATTTGATGCATGTTGGGATTGGATTTTGATGGTTTTCCTAGCTTTAAGATGTTGCAAGTCTCAATTTTAGCTCAAGTTATGTTTACCGGACGTTGGTTCGAGTTTTGTGTCATTTGAAGTCAAAATGAGGAATTTAGAGTTCAACACCGGCGTTTGAGGAGAAATCGGGATGAGTTGAGAAGCATTTGAGATTGATTTGAGAGTTATGGAGGTCACCGGGAGGTTTACGATGAAGATTTGATGACAAGAGAGCTCTAGGATTGGCTTCGGGATCAAAAGAAGATGAATGAAGCTTGAAAACGACGATCAGAATGACCTTCTGTCAGTCGTTCAAGCATATCTCTTTGTAGGAAACACCAATGGACACTATTCAAGTTTTATATGAAAGCCAACTTCAAGGGCTACAAATTATATGAAGACACCATTACGAGAATATGAGAGCAAGAAGGTGAAAACAAACAATGAAGTCAGATGATATCTGCTGCGATTTCAGAATGACATCTTCCACCGTTTTGATCATATGTCATGATTGGATGATTCAAATCACATTCGGCAAGTTGGGGTGGATAGAAGACTTCATTATCTACAAATTTCATGAAGCAAGTTTTGTCAAATTCGGAATTTGGACGCACGCCGTGCGTAGGGGAACGCACGATCGTGCGTCTGAGGCGAAAACGGAAGAAAGCCACTGCCACGTACGCACGATCGTGCGTACCCCCGAAACGCGGATTTCAGCCCCTTTTTAGTCCCAGTTCAGCCCAAATTTATCTGTTTTCTATAAATAAGACCCCCATACCCATATTTTGACGTGACGAACATTACAGATAGGCCTAGAGACGAATTTAACACCGTTTTTACGCTATTTTCTTCCAAGACCCTGAGATTATTTGTATGTTCATCTTTTTAATTAATGACAATTTATTCTATTCTTCCCAATTCTGTTGATTCTTCAATTATGAATTGTGAGTAGTTTAATTAGGGATTTGGGGTTGATGAAGGGGTTAATCATGATGTATGGCTAGATTCTTGTCGGTTTAATTGCATGAATGTCATTTAATTTGTGTTTGAATCTGGAACCGCGGCTAGAATTACAATTGCTTGTAGAATAAATTAAGAGAGATCTAGTTTATTCTAGGACACATTCACACACACTTAATCGTTCGCGAAGAGATTAGTAGCGATTAAGGGGCCGTAAGCTCGCTCGTCTTGGCAATAATTTAGGATCCTGTCGCATGAGAGATCAGCCTCGTCCCCTAAATTATTGTACTCTACGCCGCGAGAGCGGTAAGAACTTAGTAATGATTAGCTAGGTTCAATTAAAGTAAATTCATGTAATTAGGCCTGTTCTGCCAGAAATCTGGTTACCCAGGAATCAATCCCTGTTCTCTTCGTCGTTAATTAATAAGAAAATATTTATTTTAATCGCTTATCTGCATTAGTTTAAATTTTAATTCAACCAACTAATCTCGCACATCACATTTTATTTTATTAATTTCTTTTTAATTGTTGAATTTAGTTAATTCTTATCTCCCTTTTGGCCGTCCCTGTGGAGACGATACTCGTACTTTCAACCACTTTTCTACAACCTTTTTAAGTGCGAGAAAACACACATCATAAAGCTGATATCAAGAGAAGATATGAGATCTTCAAACTTAAACATGCCCATATGCTTACCTTAAACATGTCCATATGCTTACCGACTCTTTAAATCTCAATCTAACTATTAGTTAACAAAACATTAACACATAAACATTGGCTTATGTGCAATACTCTCTTTTCAAACTTCATTTAGCGCAAGTTAAGAAGTGTTTTATAATGTTTCTATAACATGATAATAATGTTCTCTATTGTTTTGTCTCAACTTTAAGATTATATTAATTAATACTTCGTATGAGGTAAGTTAGGAAAGTAGTGAGCATTGTTACTATTAATCTTCCAAAACAATTATAATGGTAGCCATCTTAACTGTAAATGAGATTCTTTACCACTTGTCCACTTCTTAATCTCTACATGTAGCATTTTTTAATTTTGTTTTCCAGGCCTAGCAGTCACATTTTCATTCCATCAAAGATTTGTTGAGTAGTACTTTCCACAAAATATTGCACTCCCTAAAAGGCTATAAACATTATAACCACTTCCGTATTTACTCCCCTTCTCAACACATTATATGAACAAGTGGAGGTGAGCCAAGAGAACAAAAACGAGCAGATGTATGTCAGTAGTCCTCATTAGATAATTTAAAACTTTCACTAATTTAAATGGCCTCCTAATTAGCTTAAACTTGTTATATATAACATTAGATAACAGTTAAAAGAATGCATACTCTGAACAACTCAGAGTACTTAGAATGTAAAAGATTTACTAATCTGAATGGCCTTCTTATCTGCAGCCTTCTGATTCATAAATTGATTCAAACTTCATAAGCTATATATTTCCACACTACATAAAAGATCCAGCAAAAGAAAGTAAAATCAAGGAAACAAAACATGATGAGAAGTGTATAACAAAAACAATACAAATACTCCATAAGTTTTATGTATCATTATAATTAGTATTAAAAAAGGCTGCCGACTGATGGGTGCCTTTAATATGCCAAACACGATTTTGAAAATGACAACATGAAAAGAACCGAAGGTTACCACCTGTTATCAGTCCAATAATCATTATCTTTAAAAATGAAGAACTGAAGGCCACAAACCACCTGTTATGTTTCGTCATCGACATCGCAGGACAGATTTACGAACAACCAATTGTTCATCACGCTAGAAACGAAGATGAACAGTGTAGGAGAAGGACCAGACACCTAATTGACCACAAAACCGAACAGGTGGGAGCTTTTGGTGGTGGTGAGCCCCACAAGTCCACAACAGCCTTGAACTACAGAGCAAAGCTACAAATTCCAGGATTTGAGCAGAAATTCTTCAGCCCTGAATAGTTTATTTCGCGGAAATCAGAAATCGTTTTCGGGTTTTTGTGTGTGAATCATCCTTCCAAGTTGTTAGAGTTGAATCTCTACACACGTTATCTCCCAGAATCAAGAAATATCGCTCCATGACGCTGTAAGGATGAAAGAAAACGACAGATCGAGAAAACCAGGAGAGAAGCTAACCGGCGTTTTCATTTTCAGGATAATACCTTAAACCTACGAAGAAGATAAAAGAGAAAAAAGAGGCGAGTACCACGGTGGTGAAATGAGTGGCACGTTTGGAATCGAAAGGTTTTACTAACCAGGACGGCAGATAAACGGATGGACGTTTACGGATGAACAAAGTAGAAGACAGAGTACATTTACTCAAGCACATAGTACATGTTTATTAAGCTATGATGTACCACCAACACATTTTTGATATCCAAAATACCCTTACCTTGATTCATGTTTATAAGTTTGTAGAGATTCTTAATAAGTCAGGTTAAGAGCATCTTCAATACAAAAACGTGAACAATGCATACGTGACATGAGAAAGTCAATTGAAAAACAACAAATACAATATCTCTATCCTTATTTGAATGGTCTTATGTGTTTTTGGTAAATTTTACTCTACAATGTCAAGCACAATATCTAGATGTAGACATTGTTGAGAAAAACTTTCCAAAACACACGAAACTGTGGAAATGTTTTTTGAAAATTTGCAGGGTGAGGATTTATGCTACTTTGTTGTTACTCTTTTGAGCCTTTGGAAGAATAAGGAGGGTAACT